TTGACAGAAACACTGTCTGCCCGCGACAGAACTGTTCCTAAGCAGAGACAGAAAACTCTGTCTCGCGCGAGGCGATGCAGTAAACTTTTCTGTTTTGCAGCTATGGAACATCATGGATATACTCCAATGGGTACACCGAGTTTCTAACTGTATTCCCCACCCTAACATGGAAGTTTCTGGAAGAATTAATCTGGAAGTATTTCTTAGGATAACGCTGTAGGAAATTCTCTATGGATGATTACCAATTCAAGTGGTAATCGCTGAATTCACAAGAGAAGGTATCAACTTCAATTCAAGATCTTCGACCAACGGTTAAGCGATAACCCGAGCGCCTGACGAGAACGTTTAACTGATTCTAGCGAAGATACTGGATTAGACTAAGCTCAGGCAGAAGCGAGGTTAAACATTGAAGCCATTTTACAAGTCCTTTCATGACGATCTAATTCAGCCAAGGCCCATTGAAGGGATCGTAAGCTAAATCTATCTTATCCAAAGTATCCCACATGCTCCTCATAAAAAGAATGAGGTCTGGAATACTTTTGATGGGGGTATCTGTAGCTCAAAAAATGCTAATAGATTATTCCCATAGCAGTAGAGAGATCACTCAAATTCACAGAAAGGATTTTCATACTGTTTTGGAAAAATCAAAACAAGTTATGACTGTCTCGCCAAGCCGAGACAATCTTTGCTGTCTCGCAGCGAGACAGTCTTCGCACTGTCTCCGCACAGCGAGACAGTCTTCGTCGTGTCTCGCCAGTGAGACAGTGTTGAAATTAGTCAAAACTACATTTGCTTAATGCCCTACAGCGTGTCCATTAACTGCCAAAGGGACGTGGGAAACATCAATGGCCGAAGATCAACGTGTGATAACTGCCCCAAAATAACCGGAGTTTGAAAGTTGAGAGAAACAGTTTACAGCGAGAAACTGCCATTTTCCGCAGCAGCATTTACTGTCTCGCTAGCGAGACAGCAAATTTAACTGTCTCTGCGGGTCGAGACAGCAAAGCTGTCTGCGCCAGCGGACAGTAAACAACTGTCTCGCCGTACTGACCTTTCTTCTGATTGTTAAGTCTTCTGCAGTTACAAGACCCCAGCAGGCTATAAATACGCTCCCTAGGTCACTTCTGACGAGGCAGATTCGCAGCATTTGTTCAGAGCATTCCAAGCAGGAACGAGAGCAGAGATTTGCGGTCTTTTCTTGCAACGCCCTTTGAAATTAAGCTTTGACATTGCATTTAAGAAGAACGACTATCTTACTTTCGATAAGATATCGTTTAAATTTCTTACTTCGATAAGCGAAAGTTAGAATCATAAGCCCCCTCTTTCACGATCTGTGAATCGGCATGGTTCCGACACCAAAGCGTTCCCGCCACGGTATGGGTCGCGTACACAGTCCCACGATAAACGAGAATTGATAAACGATTTTCGTGTTTTGTTTCTCCAGAGTTTGAATTTTTAGATTGTTGTGTATGAAAATTCTATAACAAAGCATTATTCTTTCGAATTTGTTTGTAATCGAAGCAAGTTATACAATGAATTTCCACCAGCAAGCCGACTTTTGACCAAAACCCTACTCATCACCTCCTTCAAATCAGCATAAATTCAAAGATGAGAATGAATGTAACACTCCCAATTTTCTTCTTCCCTCTCTCTCACCAACTCCTTCAATTACACCATCACGCTAGGAGGAATTCTAATTATATTATTATGCTCCATTCTGAGAGTTACAAACTTACAAATCAGTTAGGATAGAGTCCAGAGTGTCAGTGAAATTTACATGTTATGAAGAAGAATTCTCCTGTCCTCAGGTTCAATGCTGGCAGTTTTCTCCAGGTATTGCAGCATGCAAGGCCGCAGCAATTGTAGAATCTATAAGGCGTTCAAATCCGTGGAGGTATACTCTTCTATTCACATATTCCTTTATTGTTATTTGTCAATAAAGCAGGGAACTTTTATTCCAAAGCATGAAGTACAATCTCAAAACTCTCAATCCCTAACATATAAATCTATGCAAAATAAGGGAATAACTTCCTCACATTGCAAGAATACAAACCTTTCTATTTTCTATGCGTGTCTGCCATCCTCATGTACACGAATAGCTAATCTTCAACTCATAGAAAAGCTGGGCTCTTTTACATTTCAGTCATGTGGTTGATATCTGCTGCTTAAAGTTAGTTTTGTGCTTTGTTCTCCATATACTATACACAGCTGTTGCCCAAGCTGCTTTTACGTCGTTGTTTATTCCCTTTCCAGCAACATTTTTTTCTCAACGCAGTGCGGGAGCTTTCAGGCCAATTTGCATGAGTAGTGCGGTACTTGCAACAATCTCTAACTCTACTCCACTCATCTCTACTGAACTGACTTCTAAAAAATAATGGTTGCAACTTCATCCTGGCGCACAGCAACTATCACACATTTTCTGACTACCTCTTCCTTAAATTCAATCTCTCACACTCTGAAGCTCCATGAGTTGTCCTTTCGTCTTCTAAAATCATCCGCATATATTCTGGTTTTTTTAGGCACACATCATGAAGCCAATTCACCCACAGAGAGTCCTTGTTTCATTTAACGCGATAACAATTCCAACATTATTCAGAATTTGAAACCCAAGCATCCAGATTCTTAGGGTTACATACATTCCTCCACCGACCAAGGTTTTTTCTTCACATTAAATTCCTATACCCGCTCCACATGAACTTCGTAGCAAGTTTGCTCCACAGTGCCTAGCAACTCCTAGCAGGCAAAAGCTATGGAACTCCAGTAGACCTGAATGCTAAATAACACTGAGGCGCATCAACTGTGCTCTACCAGCATAGCGACAATATGTTTTCCAGTCCAAGAGACGACCTAGTGCAGTAATTTTATCTATCTAAAGCCTTACAACTCATTGATAGTTAAGTATTTATCCAGTCAGAGGCAGCATGAGCAGTAATTTTATCTATCAAAGGCCTACAACATTTGAATAGTTAAGAACTTTTTATCAGTCAGAGGCACACGTCAAGGCTACCTCATAGGGAGTATGTCCTTCAGAGAACTGGCCAAGAGCACACGTTGCTGCCTCTATCCCACTGAAAGCCAGAAAAGAATATTTTTACTCTTATGTCCTGAGCCAATGAGACTGTAGGACCTTCGAAAAATTGTCAAAACAAGCTGAATCATTGCTTTCACAGAACAATATCTCTTTACCAAAATTAGCAAGAGGTCAACAGCATACGTCACACACATGAGTTATAAGTGGGTCTTCTTGGAATCTGGGCCATGATAATCCTGAACCGCCTCGAATCATGCCATATTAGTTAAAAGCTCCTGATAGTGACTTATAACGATGACAAATAGACACGGTTAAGAAGAGGCGTCACTCTCCTCAAACTCCCTCTCACTGCAAAGTAACCACATATTAGATCCACTTAATGGCAAATCAGAGAACATAGGAGTTGAATGCACTTGATCATATTCCTTTATGTTGATTGATCGCTAACTGTATAAAATCACACTGAGATAGTTTCTCGTCAGCGTAATCAATACAAGGATTTGAACGTGATTGCGTAGCGTTGCTGCTGCTTAAGGCTTGCAAAAAGTTGCAGTTGTATGAAGACGCGTTAGCTACTGTATCGAAGATTGGAGTATCATTCTCATTCAATTTTGGCATATAATATTTGTATTACCTTACTTGTAGATAAGTACTCTGGTTTCAAATGTCACCCAGATAATTTTAGTAAAAGCGGTTCTCTTGTTGGCGATGGATTTTTGAATTATTCTGGGATGTTCTTTGAACCCCCCCCCCTCTCCTCCTCCCCTCCGCTAACCTTGTGGTAAGTCATGTTGGTCTAAGGGTTGTTGTGTTTGGCCTTAGGAGAATGCTTTTGTTCTTAGCTTATTATTGTGCTGGATATTGCATTTGAAATTATTCATCTGCTTTTTTCTTATTTCAGGTCGAAAGTCATTTTTTCATATATTTTTCTTCTTGGATTATGCTAAATATTCTAGATCACTGGTTGAGCATTGGCTCTGGGTTGTTGTAGTCGTCCATTTAATTTTTTGGCGTGCACCCGCTCTTTGCCCACCTAGTGCTTGTACGAGGCTTTACCTTCATTAAATTTTTTTTTTTTTTTTTGGTTTGCATACTCATTATGAGGGGGGGGGGGGGGGGGGTGTCGTGCTTTCTATTTTTATGTGTTCTCTTTGGCAAATTTGTTCAACATGCGAATCAGCTATGCAATACATTCATATTTGTATTTGAATTTCTTAATGTTCCTTATTATGAGTTCCTCAATCATTCTCGCTCACTATTGTTTTTGTGTTTTTTTTGAATGCCTGTTATCATCTTGTCGTATATGATCTTCATTTTGGTTGAACCAATTAACTTTAAACTGCGTAGCCTTGTTGTCTATTTTATTTTACTTTTTCCATGTAGGAGACCAAATCTTTGTTAGTTAGTAGTTTGGGGTCGGGGGGGGGGGGGGGGGCGATTTCTTCTTAAGTAAAATTAAATCTTTGAAAATAAATAACTGAAAATCTCAAGGAAAGCCAAAAAAATAAAAAACAAAACCAGCCAAACGGAGCATGAGCGGGAGTAAAAAGAGGGAAGCCTAAAACTACATGTCGCGTCGCTTGTGCTTCCATGATACGATGATTTAGATATCAGCAAGGATGCATGTAGTTATGTAGTTACATTCACTTCCGGTACATGATCTATTATTACACTTATAATAACACGCTCTATTCATGTAACATGCACGTTGATACATACATTCTGACTGCTCCAAGAACACCAGAGAGAAGGCGGGGGTGGATTTTGAGAAAGCATACTCAATTAATTAAGGATTACAGCGTGCAGTCGAGCATACCAAAGTCCACAATACATAAGAAACAGAAAAAATACTTCCTTCAATCATCTCAAATAAAACAAAGGAGTTTTCCTTCAATCTTGCATGCAAAGCAAAAGAACTAGTCATATCTTTTCTTCTTCATCCTCCATATATATACCAGTCGTCAAAATTTTGTTTGATGCTGGCTACAGCCGCACTTTGGCCCTGGTTATCATCCCTTTCGAACAATGCAAAACAACAGTACCTGACATTTAAAAAAAAGAAAGTTAAGCTTTACGGACAAAATCCAAGGTAATCAAGCGGAAAAATGTCAAATCACAATATCGTACTATTAAAATTTTAAATTATTAGTCAACCCAGTAGGTCACATGGCCAATCCATGTCGCTCCCCACCCCAGTGGGGGAGCCTGGGTTCGGCAAAGATTGAGATTTGTAATGTAAGTTGAAAGTTTAGATATCAAAGTGACAAAGAATTAATAAATATTAATAAACGCTCATTATTTCCCTTATTTTCATCCGACATCAACACTGTGATCAACAAAAAGGATAGAAGAAAATCAAAGAAATTAGACCAAGTATATAAGATCCACAACCAAGTTAAAACAACGATGAAGGAAAGAAAAAAGGATTTGATTCTTAACGTAGATGTTAGTAGAGGAGATTAAAAAAAAGATTCGATTCTTAAAGTACATGTTTATAGAGGCAACAGAATTTATTGAGGTTAGTAAACTTTCCATGTATGCTTGCAAGTTTTAAGGAGCATCCCGGTCAAGGTTGAAATTTATCCGCTTGACACCCTTCGGGTAAGAAGCGAAGGTAACCGTTCTTTTCATATTGCAGTTTATTAAAGCAGGGAAAAAAAAAAAAGAAAAGAAATGAGAGCCCACTTGATTTTATGGCTCCTGATGGCGAGACTTCAAGCACCAACCAATCTACAGCCTTGACATCAAATTCATAGACTGCAACAACATCAGATATAGGTAGGTAGGTAGGTAGAGAGTGTATATTATGCTGGGAAATTAATGGGGAGTGTCCTCCGAAAAAGAACATCCAGAAGCCAAGAGTAGTTGGAGGAATTACGTGAACTACTCTTGAGCCGGTTCCTCCATAAAGCCTTCTTAATTTTGTGTGCATTGAGAGTCTCAGAAAAAAAAGGGGATAAAATGACATCTTTTAGATCCCGGAAGAGAGATGGTTTTTTATAGTTGTTGTCGTACGACTCAGTGAATAGATAGCAAAGTTCATCGTAGAAACTACCTTTATATAAAGTTAAGCAATATGTTCGTTCGTTCATTCATTCTGGGGGGAGGCAGCAGCGGTGTTGTGGCTCCGACCTTCAACAAGCACAGCGGCGTCCCTGTCTTGCGTTCCAGGATGGTTAGTGCCCTCCTGCTGTCGTCCACCGCTATTATTTTGTTGAGCTAATGACGAATTTCGCCTGCTTCTCCATCTCAAGTACTCTACGAGCAGCGAGTTCGTACTAATTGCAATCCCAAACCCTGTGAATGACGATAGTAGCACTGATAGCACAGGGGCCACTCTGAGCTGCAAATTCAATACAGACGGATAAGAACCAACCGTTTGACATGAGTTAAGAATGTCCCCGCAGCAGCTCCGATCCGATTGGAGGAAAAGAAAAAGAAAAAGAAACTCACCACGTTGTAGAAGATATGAGCAAATAGAATTACAATTGCAAATTGGAAGGAAGCATAAGCCCATATGTAACTCTTGCTAGCTGTGTAAAAAAAAGAAAAAAATAAGAAAGAAAAATAAAAAGACATAATATATACAAATGAAGAGAAACTAACACAAGATAAAAAGTGCGCCGGGCTTTTTCATTTATCTATAAGTCATCAAATGTCAAATATACGCGACGAAGTTCTAAACACACGCGTGGTAACATATCCAGATGTTCTTCGGCTTAACTTGTTTATCACATAGTCCTTACGAACCACTTTCTCAGCCACTAATATTATAGTTCAAGATCATACCTTTCTTGGAATATTGTGTAGCACAAGGCTCCATTGGTCGTTGACAGGCTCAATGTAACTGCATTCTTTATGTCGTCTCAGCATTGCCAACTGAGCAATATCGATTTACTTAGCAAGCTTTTTGGGAATTTCTACTATGATTTGCTATTGGTCTTGCGGTGTAATTGCATTGGACAACCAACTTTATAAGATTTTTTTTTTCTAAGTTTTCATGTCTTTACATTTATTTGCTTAACTATCTAGATACGATGCTCTTATGTTTGGATACATACATGGTTCATAATTTTTTTTCCTTGTGAAGCTTAAAGGAACATACAGTCATTTCAACTTGAACTTTTAAAAGAGAGGTGCTGTTGGGTTAGCTCCAGGACAGTTCAAACATATACAAGGTTAGTAGCTGGTGCCGTTGAAGTATCAACTATAGTGTTGTTTGCCATCAAACATGCGTCAATGCATAGCAACTAATGAATGTTAAGTTCATAACATCCTTAAGTCATATTTCAATGGTAGCGCTAACTTATATTGTCTCTAAAAGAGTTCCTGACAATTAAAGAAGACCTGCAGTGTAACACTCGAAGCATATATTTACAATTTGGATTACCAGGGGCTTCTCAAAAGAAGAAGAAAAATTGACTACCTTGGACTATACTTCAGTCGTAAGAATAAGAAAGAGATTCTACAAAAATTGACATCAGACACTAAGAGCACCATAGCTTCAGGGCATACCGGACTCATGTGTAGCCCATAAATGGAAGAAATATGTGAAAACTTCTTAACATCGACCGAAGGTGACGATGTTAAAGAAATTAAAGAAAACAGAATGAAAACAGAAATGAATATGGAAGAAATATGTGAAAATCCCTGAAGCTATGGTGCTCTCAGTGCATAATACATGATAAGTTAAACATAAATGAAAACAGAAATGAATAGATAAAATTAAAGAAAACGAAACATGATAATTACCCATAGTAGAAGCTATCATGGATGAAAGGAGGCCCAAAACACAGGAGAAGGGCAATGATATAGCAAGAGCACGTGAACCCATATCCGTAACCTGCATCAGTGAAGTATTCAGACATTTGACAAAGTTGACAGAAATCAAAGTGGTAACTTGTAAGAGCTAACACCAACGTGGAAGTTGACGTATGAAAACGAAGATAAACTATGTCTATATGGTTAGTTACTCACTAGTAATTGCTCCAAGAAGCAGAAATAAGCAAGCATGCTGACCATCACCAGAACGGGTACATCCTGCCAGACCCTATCAGAAGTTCAAGAAAAAGAAAGAAGTGAAAAAGAACAGTCAACCAACTCCCTGCAGAAACAGTGAAAAAGGAACAAGTATAATTTGAGCCTTCGCTCTAATCTAGAAACTTCTGGAAGCCCCTGAGAAATAGAGTATTATCACATTTTCTCCTCAGAAGAGGATGTAAGGAGAAGCACATGATATCGTGATACATGCTGTAGCTAGTTCCTACCAAAGAGACAATTCAATAAGACATGCTCACCGCCACCTTCCAAAAGGAACACACACACAGACCTCATAAAACTTAATTGCTTTAAAGACAAATTTGGGATCGTTTTCTAGACTCATAATCGTGCTCACAATTCATCGAGAATAATGTATATATCCAGCTTCCAAAAATACCTTGTGGATATATTTCAGCTTTGTAACTATATAAATTAAGTCTTCCGTGTACTTAGGTGTAACTACCAGAAAGTTTGGAGGAAACAAAACCTGCTAGCTAGAAGAATATTAATTAAACTAGGCCTATTTGTGGAGCTAGTCTTCACGTATCAATATGACAATCATCTCAGATAAAACATAGTCCATCAGCTGATATGGCGTATTGAGAATAAATTAACATTTTAATATTTTGGCAGATCGCGTTTACCTGTAGCGAGCAGTCTCTCCTTGCTGCAGAGCACTTGCTAGCCGACTGTTACCAATCGGTGGATTTTGAATCCTGAGAAGAGTTACAGATAGATTCTTGACTTCCTGTCCACAGACATCGCAAGTCTTGTTCCCCTTTATGCTAAACCATTTGATTGCACATTCTTGGTGGGCAAGAGCCAGTTCCCCTTTGCAGCTGCACTCCATCTTCAGAGCTTCTCCTCCTTCCCCAATCTCAACTAGGCATATTCGGCATACTGCCTCATCTTCAGGAATATCTTCACCCTCATCTTCACTTGCTGCAAATATATTATGCAATAGCATAGATGAGGGAACTGTTGAGTACAGCAGATTGTATTTACATAATATGTATCTTCAAAGTTTCTGGATAACGGAACTGACACGGTAAATTGCCATGCGGACTCAAAAAAGATACAATGCTGAGATAGTACCATCTACTGTTTCAACGGAAGCATTTTGTGTGGCAGTGTCAGGAAAGATGGCTCGAGGAGTTGAAATTACACGAAATAGACCCAAAGAACCTGTTCTCTGCAAACGCCTGCCTTTGACATTCCCCGGTACTGAAAATGAGCGCTTGATGTGTGTCTGACTTTGTTGTTTCTGTTATATAAACAGAACACTAATTAAAGGTCAGGCAGATTAAGGTAAATAAAGAGGCTTCACGACATCTGTATAGCATGATAATTGGTAATTTGGTATGCGAGTTGAACAGAAATTTAACGAAAACTATTAAGTAAACAGCCTAAATGGGTAGGACTGGGCTGCAGGTTTTAAAGAAATGGTATAAATGAAATTAAGGGACCTGAATGCATTAAGGTACTTACTTCGAGATCAGGCATGTTGACAACATGTGCTGAGTTTGCACCGCTATTTGTAATTGGCGTGGAAGGTAAAGAATGTGTCCTTTTTGATGAGAGGCTCGGGACTGAAGAAAAGACCTTGCTGAGGGAGAACTGCCTTGACAGTATGGAAGGTTTATCTTGCTGTTCTTCTGAAGCTGGTGTCCCTGGAATGAGGAGAATTGTCCTGTCGCCCTCCCGGATCGATGAATTCTTCGACTTGAAGCTCCGCTGTGGATGCAGATTCTTGATGCTGGACGATTTGGTCCTGGTAGAATTAGGCCTGGGAGGCAACCCAGCTGACGCTGCTCTTGTCAAGCTGGAACTAGGCAATGCATTCTCTGACGACATCCCTGGTGTTTGTAAAGAGGAAAGGCTTGGTCGTCTAGGTTCAGTAGCTGACCCGATCTCTCCTCCTTTCCTGTCTCCCCGATCAGGTGCCTGTCAAAGCATTAATTTGAATTCTCTCCAGTCACACAACTTACACGGCCATCTCACATCAAAATTGTCGACAAACCTTAATTTTTACGCAAGTTATACGACAGTCTCTATATATATTTCGCGAAAGGGGGTCTCGGCATGAAAAGCTGGAACAAGGCTCCCATAAGAGCTCAAATCAAACTAGCGCATCTATCATGCTAAACCATGCTTAATTTGCAACGTAACAGCACAAGTTTATCTACCCACTAGAAAAATTACGAAAACCGTCTTCTCTGTTCAGTCAAGAAGAAACTGTCAAAAAGGAGAAAATCAAGTTTTTATATGTTTAGCAGTTTACTTGTGAGAATATAGTACTGGCCATGAAACTGTATCGTCACCAGGCAAGCCAAAAGGAAAGATAACGTATACATATTTTACTGTGTCAAAACTTCATAATTCGTAATCTACTTCAAGTATCTTTGTTTTCATCTGTTGCAAGAAAATCGAAATTCAATTCACTTTACTTTCCAGCCACAAAGTAAGCAACATGACATTTTGATTAATCGACGAACAGAACCTGCCCGAAAACATCCACAAAGAATCTAACAAGCAAACTTCAAACCAAAGTTTCTAAAGAAGAATTGGAGAAGTCCCAGTACTCTAGGAGGAGAGGAAAAAAAGAAGAAGAAGAAGAAGAAGAACATAGTCTTTTTGTAGTAAGGAAATCAAGGAAGAAAAAATTTACCTGGTGATCAGCGGAATTCGAGGCCATCCCTTGGGCTGGTTGTGCTGGAGCTCCTGAATTCTCCATGAACAAACTGTCGAACAACTGAAGTTTCCCAATTAAATTGTTTCAGAACTCAACAAAGTCACCCTGAAATCATTCCTTCATGAAGTGCAATAGGTTTCTGCAGTTCGGGCAAAAGAGCAAACTCTCGAAGTCAGGCTCCAGCTTCATCAACTTTTTATGCATATATACATATCTAGGCAAATCTAATCCATTTTCAAAACTGCAAAGCTACAATTTGCTGGAGACCCCTTAGGAACCTCTGATATTTGGACTTTACATGAAAATAATAAAGATAAAATGAAGAATTTATTGAAGGATTTTAAAAAAAAAAAAAAAATCATTGTTGAAACTTTATCAGCAAAATCGATCTTTTCTGGATTTAATTAGTAAAATCGACCTCTTTGGTCGATTTTGTAAAATATAATTTTTAAAATACATAGGACTAGTAGCCCCAGGTAATTAATGTTGGCTAATCACATGCTAATTAAACTTTAAAAATATACGATACTAAATAAATTTTATTAGGGTGTAATTCGGCACCACTAAATACACGGGACTAGTCGTAGTCCCGTGTATGTTGATGCTTTGTTTTTGTAAAATCGACTTTTTTTTGTCCAGTTGGTCCAAAAGAGGTCGATTTTGCTAATAAACTTTCAAAAAGGACCTTTTTAAAAAAATTCTCCTTTATTGAAAACATTTGTAGCCTATTGGCAAAAAAACACAGTTACGTTCATTGACATGGTATTAGTACAGGACCAGGTTGACCGAACACTAACCCATTTTGCAACTTCCAAAATTTGTATAATATTTTTCCTAAAAAAATTGTATAATATTTATCAAGGATGATTTATTCTCCCACGACTTGAATCTTGATGCCCAAAGGATTTTTAACAATTTTGGAGGTTTATTATATATGCTTTATCTACACACAGCAAGAATGACAACCCAAAAAAAATGGTTCTGACTGGCAATTGCACTTATTATTAGTAAGGAGAATTTACAAAAAAAAAGGCCCTTTCTGAAAAACAATTATTAAAATCGATCATTTTGTAATATTATTAGCAAAATTCATCTCTTTCTTAAAATTAAAAGATTGACTTCGTAAAAATTTATCTTTAAATTACACGAGACTAGTATTCCCATATATTTAATTAGTTCTCATTAATTGAATTTTAAGTATTTTAGCACAAAGTACACGAGACGAACATTTCAGATTAGCCATAATTAGCGATCACTAATTACATGGGATTACTAGTTCCGTGTATTTAAAAGTCGATATTTGCAAAATTGACTTAAAAGAGGTCGATTTTTTTAAAATTGGTTTTGCTAATATTTTCATAAGAGAGTCGGTTTTGCTTATTATTATTTTTTAAAAAAACAGTCCTTTTTTAAAATAAAAATAAAATTCTCCCATTAGTAACTAGAAAATTTTGAAGTATGATAGTCCATTAATTAATTAGCAGTATTCCGTCTGATGAATAGACCAGTAGGAAGTTGTCAACTTAATTTGCTGCTGCCATCTGATCAGCTTTTCAATTTACTGATAAATCAATTGTTTTAAGATAAGTCTTACCTACCTGTAAAGCCTAGATACAATGCAACGGCGGGTTTAAAGTTTCACCGAGGTATCAGGGTTGGGTTGGGCCACCCAATATATTCATTCATCTTTAAAAATCAATCACGCCTTTTTTTTTTTTTAATTAGTTGTTATATATATATATAACCACCGAAGTTTATCATGGGATCATGAGATGATCTGCCACGCACGCATTCACGTATCCAACCAAAAGCTTATCCTCCCCCCCACCCTTAATTTTATATATGCTCTTTAAACTTTGGGGTACGTATATATGTTTATTATAGACGTGTTACTACGCATTTTGTTTGGTGGATGGAATTCCTTTGTATTTATTAATGAACGTCACAATATCTTTTGATCAGTTGCTTCCTAGAGATGCGAACGCACTACAACTTCATGTTATTATTATATATAGTTCAGCTAGCACTGAAATAATAATGTATTTACAGTACATACAGGTGACTGCAGTTATCAATGTTTGTATGTGCATTATTTATTATTATTGTATTAAAATAGCTGCTCTGTACTCTTTTTTTTTTTTTTAGGCGCTACATGTACACCCTTAGGCACACCACCAACCACACCCTCCCCACTTGCTACAGTACAGCGGCCCCACATGTGATTTTTTTAGAAAAATCACTGTAGTAAGAGGGGGAGTGTGGTTGGTGGTGTGTCTAAGGGTGTGCCTCTATCTTTTTTTTTCTTTTTTTTCCCTCCGCTTTTTCCCCGTACGTCACCATCAGATTTATGCCAGCTTTTGATTTCCGATAGTTACGGTGGTAGTGTTTTCAGGACAGCAATAAAGAATAATCCCATGCTAAGGCTTCTGCTGACGAGAACCTGCAGGTAGACCTCGATCGAGGCGTCCATGCACATTTTCGGAGTAACAAAAACCCAGCTGTAACTGCGCGCCAAGGAGATGTTGATCGATGGTGGTGGTGGTGATGACGATGATGATAATAATAATAATAATAATCCTGCCGTAGCATTCTCATACGCGAACATATATAGGTGGTTTAAAAAATTAAAGTGGGTACCGTGCGAGCATTAATTTGTCTATCCATCGCCATTTTTAAAAAATTAATTTTCCGCACTAGCTATAGATACCTGGCTCGATCGCTAGTGCCCTTCATCTTTATTAATTTAATGCAAAGATGAACTAAATTAAGCTGATGGTGATGTAGTAAATAAATAAAGTATACGAGGTGGTGATGATCGATCCAGATTCCAGGGAACTGGATCCCACCTGCTGAGATATCGGCCACGCTTTCACCGAACGGGAACGAAACGTTTCGTTATGAGAAGACGGGACGGGGGCCAAGAAATGAATTGAGAGGGCAAACTAAGGTTCCAGACGATCAAGCGTATCAGCAAATATATAGTAAATAATAATAACGTACGTTTGGAATGCTATACGTATTGAGCGTCGTCGTTCAGATTTGTCACCAACCGCCGTATTCATAATCAAAACAACATATTATACTCCCAGCACCCCCGTACAAGGAGCAACAAGAGTAGTGCCGGAAAAAAGGTATAATATTGATAAGATTTTAATGTAACAGATGGTACAAAATAAATAAAATACATATATACAGGTCGGTTCCTTCCTCGAAAAAAAAATATGACAACGCATACAAACCAACGAAAGAAATTACAAAAATACTCAACGGAGACAACAACGCCGCACAAAATACTCAATATTAATGTCATGGCAGCTGTGACTATTGGTCGGGGACGAATCTCAGCTTCACCCATTATGCCATCCACAAAGAGCTTCTCATGGTCGACAAACACTTGCTATTGAACAGACAGTGGGTTGATTAGTATTGAAATACCTAGATTAATTTGTTAAGATTAAGGTAGATATTAATTATGGTAGTATAGAAGTATGATAATGTTATTAAGCATGAATTTAGAGGGCCACAGAGAATTATTACCACATTAGTGAACATGGATCTCTATATATCAAAGAGAACTTCAGCTAAGACTCCAGACACATGTTTGCGACCAATTCTCGGAACTGAAGGTTTAAATCCTACAAAATGTACTGGTCAAGAGATGTCCCCGATGTCTAGTCTCCATTACATGTGAGATTTAAACTTACATCATGTAATCTTGATAGTAAATAAAAGCATCAAAGGCCTGTTTATGAAAGGCTCAGACTAGTTATGGTCAACTTAATTGTCCGATTCAGAAGTTAATTAAGCCATAGAGATTAAATCTGAAGGAATTCTAAAGTTGGAAGCAATAATTTAAACGAAAGTAAATAAATATATGAGTAATGTCATGATGTTGGTATAATGTGCTGGTTTGGATAAGCAAAAATATTGTGACGGCATTATGATGCATGTTATGCGTCTTCTATTTCAGTTGTCAGTTATTCCTTCATTTTGCAAGTAGGAATAAGTATCTACATTTATTAGCTTTAAATTTAATCGATTTGCCTATGAACTTCAATGCCTGATTTTACTTTGAATTGGGTGTTCATTGATGTTGAACTGTCTACGTACTGTGACACATGCGAACGGATAGTTCTGAAATTGAACACATCCTAAGCTTAAAATTGTGAAACTTGAGATGGAGCATACAACCAATGAAACGCATACTATTTTATGAAGAATGTGAGTTGCGCGTCTCAGAAAATTAACAGATGTACATACTAATCACAGGTTTGGAGTTCCATTCTTTACATCATAAAAAAGTTCTAGAGTTCAATTATATATTCTGAGGATTAGTAGTTTTTTAAATCTTGCAGATCTAATGCAAATAGAGAAATAAATTGAACATGATAGTGAAAAAAAACTCCCGACTCCAGATAGTAATATAGGTAACAAAAATAATTTCTCATATGTGCTCACAAATTTCAGAGTCCCGTATCATTGAGTCACCAATAATCCAAATTCCTCCTTCAAACGGGATTTAAATTGCTTGGTTTTATGGCAGTTTGGGCTCTCTGCAACAAGGCAATTGTCACGAGGGGAAAATCTTCTGACATGAAACTGTGGCATTATTTTGAAAAATAGTTAGAAAATAGAAATTAAATCTGACATGTAGAGCTACCTGTTGTCCAAGAGTCAAAACCACATAAGGGTGTCACTATTTATAAGTATCTCTCTCATAGCCAGATTTATGCCTTTCAGCACCTTGACCTTTAATGCTCCTAAGTCTTCCTGCCTTCTTGCTGAGGATTGCTCCTAGAAGTACAAATCAATATAATTTCAGGTGAAAATTTATTGGAAATATTGAATTAATTTCACATTTCACCCTTGAACGTTCACGTCTTTGATGCTTTAGAATGTTGTAGATGCAGAAGCTAGATGGATCAATAGTATGCGCAGCGTAACTGAATGCACAGAACCAACTACCAAACTAATAAGCGACTGCTCAAGTAGGTGAAGCAAGGACCGAGTGGAATGTGGGACTCTGCGGTGGTTACATGGTGGATTTGCACATTCACAATTTTCATCATCTAGTCAGTCTCACCGAGATAGACCCCAAATAAACTCTATTGCAAATTTTCGTGTTGTTTTTATGTTAGTTTTATTAGCATTGGTGTGTGATCTTCTCAAATCTAAAATATAGATGCATATTACATGTGGAAGTCGAATAATGTTCTACCTTGTTTAAGTTGTTGGTGATAAACTGATTATGCATACTGCCAATAGATTTTACACTGTATATATGGTCCTTCTGAAGATGCAAAACGCAAGCTTGGCTTCAGGAATTCTTGCTAGCAGATATTTAGACCCCTAGGGGGGGGGGGGGGGGGGGGGGGGGTGGGGGGGGGGGGGGCGGGGGGGGGGGGGGCGGGGGGGGGGGGGGGGGGGGGGGGGGGGGGGGGGAGGGGAGCGGGGGGGGGGGGGGGGGGGGGGGGGGGGGAAAAGAATGTATTAATATAAATAGATTTTCACACATAAAAGGGAAATGACGACCCTCTCATTCAACAACCTGACGAATTTGATGCGTTCTTCATATCTCGCCTCAGGGGTAGGTTTCAGCAATCCTTGAGGAAGAAGCTCCTCATAGATAGAATTTGTACATATCACCTGTATCACAGTTGTAATGAACTAAATAGAACAACTCACCTAGACCATTGACCAACTCGTCTTGGACTTTGTGCATTATATTTGTCACAACAGAATATTTTCTTTGATGGATTTCAGGTATCTATAACATTGTTACGTCCAGTAAAAAACTAGTTCGGGCACTAATATCGTCCCTGCAAAATGTTTAGCAAACCCTGGGAACAAACATCACAAAATTACCTTTGAGATATGTTCGCATTTTAGGCATATGAAAACTCCTACGATGGTCGAACTTCAAAAAATGAGCAAAGATGGTTCAGGTCATATTTACACAAACTTACAAACTGCTGCTTTATCGATTTAGGTTCAGGGAATAATGTTAAAAACCAATTAATTGCTATAAGAGATATTCATGTCCTGTGTATAAAATTTGTGTGGTCTCAATAATATGATAAAATGACATGAAATGCGAGTGTTGGTGGGGGTAAAAAAAAGGATTACGCGGAAAGGCCACAAAAAAAAGACTGGTGGGTGATTTTGAACAATATATATTTTAACATTCTTGTTCACATTAAAAAACTTTATATGACCCTTGACAGGCGTGAATAAAAGCAATCTTTTAGCTGAAAACCCAAACTTCTGTTATTAAGGATTTACGGCTGCTGTTGCCATTGCAGTATGTTTACCTAGATTGAAAATACATCTGTAGACTTAAAATTCCAAAATGCTGCAAGGTTCAAGAAGGAATATTGTAGATTGCTTTGTATGTTTGCCCTATTGGAACTCCGTTACAGCTCATTAAGAAATCAGAAAACTAGGAAGAGACCATATAGAAATATCTTTTCACTTTCAGTTGTCTGGGAATGTGCTTATTATGTTACAATCATTCTGTTTCTTCCACCTCTCTTCTTTTGAGAGGATAGGCTGTGTGAGACTTCAGTAATGTTTATATCCGTAAATTCTGCAGAACGTTTCCTTCGACACTTTCAATGAACAACGGTGTCTAGTTTATTAGAAAGTCTCGTAGATCGTGTATCTTCATATCCTAAACTAGAACTGCAACTAACAGGATCAGGAAAATTCATATGCATGTGTACTTCCTACCTTTCTGGTTGATTTTGAGCTGCATAAAGTATGAAAATGCATAGGCACTTGCACATAACAAAAGGGAGACCTTTCCTTATAGGTAATTTGTAGTAGTAGTCATAATGTGTAGATAACTGATGTTCAGATTTTTCCAGGCAGAAATTCCAATAACAGGACCAGCAATATAAGTTATTACCGTGGGACTCACATTACTGCAGGATTATTTTCCCGTGTCTTTCTCAATGGAAGTTGCGGATCAATTAGGCATCATGATGGTGCTCCCTACGTAGACAGGGAGGTGAGAAATTAGGTTGGGGAAAGAGGGGGAGGGAGGGTTAGAAAGAAGAAGAAAATGATACAAAGGAAAATTATGGGTAGGATCCTATGATGTCGCATACATGGATGACCATGGCGATACCAAAGCACACTTCTCTCGCTAGTCTAGCTTTCAGGATGAACCAGTTAGTTACTTGGAAACAACTGCTGGAAAGAAATGCAAACAGCAACACCATCTTATTTGACAAAAGAAAATCCCACTCTCGACTGATTAAAATTTGTATTACCTACGCCCACTGGGGATCTGAAGCACCACAACCTGCACAAATGTGGTTGTCATTTCTTAGAAATAGCTCCTCCAACTTTTGCATGTGGCCAACTAAGAGGGGGAAAAAATAACCTGACTATATAATACATGAGTAAAGCTTGTGATACATGACGATTTTATAAAACAGAAGTAGATAGAGTTGTTTCCTTTCACATGTAAAGAAAATTATCATAATTTTAGAAGCAGAATGATGTGAGCGTCTTAAGCCAGGCTCCTTGCAGTTTCATTGTAAAAATACATACCTAAGGAAGTCTTATTTTTACATGATCCTGGCAATTTATTTCTTCAAGTGCAAATCTTGTTCATCTAAGAACCTGTTTCTTCACCTAATTCTTCAACAGCGACAACTGAAAAATTATAAAAGGCGCACAAATAATAAAACTCTTTAAAGTCATATTTTCCTTTTAATGCAGCCAATTATTGTAATGCTAATGATAACAACATCAGCAGAAGTGTAGTCATTCTCCACTGATATTGTACCCTTTGCTTCTATGAATTAGATGTCACTTCAAATATCTCCTTTAGCCTTTATTTGTCTTCACCATGTACTAGTTGAAAAACAAGAGAAGCTTGCAATCCTGGGGTCAGTTTGGCAAAACAGAGCAAAACTAGGCCAGTACCCGTCCTGACCCAGTTTTACGCTAAACTAGTTTGGTTTTGAACAAGACCCCCCCGGTCCAAAACAAAACTAGTTTAGTGACACTATTTGGGCACAAAAAATGGGCCCATAATTTTGACAAACAAGAAATAACACAAAATTAGGCCAGGTTCAGTCCTGGTCCAATTTTACAAAGTTGTCAAACACTCCCCTGGGGTCTCTATCAATCCTTAATTGACCGTACACATCAGTTTCAAGCATGCATTGTGTAGCTTATGGATGAACAGTCTTAAGTGAATTGATATTTTTTATGTTTTGATTGGACTCTCACTTATACTTATCGGCACTAGACATAAATATAGAGATATAGAGCTAATATGATGGATCTTGCAGCAACCAACCACTACAAAACTAGGGTGAAAAATATCGAACCCTCTAAATTGCATTGTTGGAGAATTGAATTATAGATGTCGCGTCTTACTTGAGAAGTTGAGATTTCTTCAAAAATGACCAATCACAAACTTCCCCTTTCCCAAGCTTTTGGCCTCTGTGGGTTTAAGCGATGGTGCCTTGTGGAAGCAGGGCCTCAGATCATCTTCCCAACCACATATACAAGTCTCTGGAGTGTGTACATATGTAATTGTGATGGTAGCTTCTGTTTAGTTCCACTATGCGTTATCCCTCAAATGGTCCAGTCACCCTCACCTTGGAGGAAAGTTAGGTCATCTCAGTTTCCACACCTATGAAACTGTGAAGTGTGAGTTTCCGTCGCATATTGTCCCATTTATCTACCTTTCTTATAGTGGAAGTCACTGATGATAAAGTTGCATGAACTCGTTACCAATGGAAGGTGGCATGTCACTAGGAATCTCAATGCCAATAATGGGCCCCCACAGGGCTCCCCACTCAAAATGCACTAGTGATTCACTCAATGAAAGTAATTGAAGGGCGACTCACTAAGGAAAGTCCTCATTTCTTAGCGTACATCCTCACTTGTACCGGACTAGAATAAATCATTCACGTATCTAGAGGTATTTCTTTTAAAAAACAACAGTTACCGATTTAGCTGTCATTAGCCATTAACCCGCTAAAAAGCATGATATTATTTGGCTCAAAGGACCAAAAAAATATGAGCATGAATACAAGTTTCTTGCAAACCTGCGATTAATGCCTTCACTAGAAAATCTTTCTTGGTTGTGTCACAGTACCAGATGATGACAGTATCTATAGTTGGTGTGCGCAACAGATTGCTTAGTTAAGGCTTGTATAGAAGCAACTGTTAGATCAGGTAAAAGCTAATTAGCTGTGAATTCTAAATTAACTAAGCTTAACTAATTACCTGTTGAGTTAACAAATTAATTTTAAGTTTTATTTGAAAGGAATAGAAGGCAGTGAAATGTTATTTGATAATTACCTACCTGTTTCTATTCCCCTTCTCTGCTGCCGAATTCTGTGACTGCTTGACCTGTGTGGTTTTTGAAGAAGAGTGGAGAGCTGGTTGCCCGTCCTTGCCTACTTGAACCAACTGAGCGGGATCTGCACACCTCCCTCACGCCCAACGCATCACCAACAACCAATTGCATCTCCATCTCCCATTCAAGCTTTCCCCCTCCAATATTATCAATACCTTTTGTCATATCTAAAGTATATGTCCTCACGTTGCCCAACACCCTCTCTTTTTTCTTCCTCCTCTCATTCAAACTCCTACCTCCAGTAATACCATACTCTTTGCGACTCACAGCACCCAAGTTTATTACAGGTCCTCTGCAATGCCTGGACACCATTCCTGATGCAAAGTCTCAGAAGACAAGTCCAAGGAGACGTGATACTACCCGCCCGAGGACACGCAACGTTGATGCATCATCATCACCTTCATCATATGAAAAGGAAGAGCCAGAGGATGAACGCAGCAACTGCATCCTACGGTGGGGAACATTAGGTTTCAGTTTTTAGACGACAAGACACCCTCATTAATAGCAAGCAGCTGGCCATGAGAAATAATTGCTGTAGCCACCATTCAACCTTTCTTCTCCCACAAACCACCGGCCATGCTATTTATTATCTTGAGCTCGCGCTTTCAATAAGGTATCAAATTCTGATGAATATGTTTCAGAGAAAGAAAAGGCAGCAAAAAGGATGCCGCTATCATGAGCTGCACAGAACCAAATCAGTTAATACACTGTATCCTCTCAGTCATAAAGGGCACGAGACTATTACTACCTACAACTTTACAACATGCATGGCAAACTCCCAATAAAAGGAGCTACAATAACTCACAAAGTGCTCAACTGGTACAAGAACAGAACAATCAAACGCAAAGGGTCATCAACTTAAACCTAGAACTTTATTTAAAAAAGAAAAAGAAAAGAATAAAATGAAATAAAAGACGCCACTCAAACCTTAAAAGCTACAACCCTACAGATTATTCCAGTAAATATTATACACGTCTCCCCCCTTATTTTCTTTCTGCAATTATCTTGATCTTACAATCCTGATGAAGGATTCTCCTTTTTATTGGATTCAGCAACATGTGCACTCTGGGGATTCTCTCGGCATAAATTCTCCAAGGACAGATGGTTGCCAGTTTGAGCCTCGTCTTCCTGTTGGTCTCCACCTTTCTTCTTGGAGTTCAGGAATCGACCTCCACATCCCCTCGCTCTCTTCAGAGCATGCAAATGACGAGACTCGTGTAGGTAAGGCTGCACTAAAATTTCAAAGCATTAGATTACTCCACAAATTCTTTCAATTCTTTCTCATTATGGAAAAAGCAAGGAAATAGGACCAGCATCTCCAACCCAAAAAAACCAAAACCCCAAAATGGTGTAGTTTTTACATTAAGTTGGTGTAGTTTTTAACCAAATTACTATTCCATCTCCAACCCCTTGCACCAAATTTTACACCAAAAAGAATATTCCTTTTATTATTCTTATCTTTTAACATTTTTATCTATTTAAAATATTTAACAAATTGTTTTATTTTAATAATTTACACCAAATTTTACACCAAAAAGAATTTTATTTTAATAATTATTTTATATTATAATTTCATTATAAAAGTTAAAATTTTAAAAAAAATGGAATAAACTAAGGTTAATGAATGATATAATAGGATACAATAGGCATTTTTAATTTGTTATCACATAGTTTAAGGGTAAAATCGGAAGAAAAAAAAACTCTAAAGTTACAGTGTTGCACCAATGGCGCAACACTGTAGCACCTGATCAATTTAACACGGGATTTAGCGATTGGTTGGAGGGAGTTTTTTTGCACTAAAATAGGTTTTAGCGCTAAATTGCAGCTCCGTTGGAGATGACCTAATAGATAGATGTGTACGTGCTGCAAATTACATCATTGCCTCACAAGCCTAAAACACTGAAAGCAGTCAACTAAAACAGATCATAACTGTCGCCATCATCATCCCCTTATCTTGTCCCAGGGTCCACAATGGAGCACGCCTCATTAAATTGAGCACACTTCAACCAACATGAAATAACCAAACACTGCAATACTGCTACAGACATCAACCAGTTGTGTGTGTGATTGCCAAACCTCCAAAGCTAAGTGCTACAGGGCAATTGATAGCAGCGAAAATGTGCAATAAAACATATGCCAATAATCAAAAACAGGAAATATATGGGAAAGAAAATCTTGAAATTTACAGAAATCTAAAATGAAGGGAACATCTAAGACAATTTACAACTCAACTATTGTTAATAACTTCAGTTCAAAATCATCATAACCCAAAGAATGAAAATGGAATAGACTCCCAAAATCGTCTAACCAAGGACCCCCAAGGTCCCCAACAAAGAAGTCATCTTCCAACTAGGCCAACTATACATGATCCTCCCCAGGATGCAGCATAAGATTTTAAACACAAAAGGCCATCTCTTACCAAAACTACATACCTAGGCTGTCTTAATTACAACTTATTGAAATCTTCTAAGCTAAAGGTAGGAATAGAAATAAATAATAAGCTTGTCCATCACATTAGACTTCCCAGTATCTACACAATCCAATTCCGATCACTATTTGCATCATAACCTCTAAGCTGGCAACCAGCGGCGCTGGAGCCCCTAGCATGTTTACTCAAGTACAAAAGGTTAAAATGAGGTTTCTCGAGATTTCATGTCGGATACAGTGTGTGGAGCCTGCTATGCAGAGCACATGACTAGAAAGAAATGGAAACATCAGATAAAGCAAGCAAATTCACCCAAAAAATCTAAGCAGAATTATTTAAGATGGGCTGTTGAAATTATGCAAATAACCAGGTAGAAAGAGAGAAATTTTCCTTGTTTACAACGTTTATACCGCTCTGATAGAATCATGTCTTAATTGAGTCAAGCTTTGTACGCTTACTAGCAATTATGCACCCAAGCACTTACTATTCAGATAACACTAAATATCGAACACTTGCATATCGATGATTTGATAGAACGTATTAAGTTTGCAAAACTATGAATGAGATTCAGCAGTTCACTTTACTCAGGCCTTCCAAAAAGATAACTCACCCATGAGGCCAGTATTCTACTTTAAACAGCCATAGCATGCTTATTTACTGCAACGTACCTTCCGGCTTTTTATCAACTTATTTTCTGATTCAGCTTTTGCACGAGACTGCCGGCGCCTCAAAATACCATGGTATTGCTTTGCATTGACGTAAACAGGCTCTTCAACTGCATCAGTCGGCAATGGAACCCCTGGCTGAAGCACTCCAATCATATGGGGATGCATCTGAAAGTAATTTATTTGCAAGTGATAAATTAGAATCACATTAAAAAAAACTTGAACAAAAGACTTTTATAGACTTGATAATGAGAAATCATACCACAGCTTGACCACCATATGCAGCAATCATACTTCCATAGTATGGATCTATATAAGGGTATGCCGTTTGAGCCTGCCATGTACATTCAGTAAGTCAGAACTGAGTGATGCCTTAGAAGATGCTAACGACCCAATAGTTTATGTTCAAATCAAATCAGGAAACTGATTTAAGTGATGCATTAAATATATCATGAAAAAATTTCACCTTCATCTCTGTTTACATCCCCACCTTACATGGAATAGGTATGTTTGTGAAAACAAATGGGTACGAGGTGGCATAATTTTTTTCGGTTTATATTATTTTAATTTTTATATAACTATTTCGTGCAAGTAATCAGGGATTTGATCCTTATGTATTAGTATAAATGGACTTGAAATGTTCTCAAATTCGTGGATCAGTTTTGGATCATGATCCAATAGGATATAAGATTTGCACATTAATGACCGGGTGGAACAGAAGTGGTACCATGTCAATTAATGGTTACAAAACTAGCCAAGTCGTGATTACTTTATTGATATGTAAAGATATTATTTGGGACTAAGTTATGATTACTTATGGTAAATTATGATTTCTTTATTAATTAGTTTGTTGCATTGAGCCTAAGTTATGATTACCTTATTGATATATAAAGGCGTTATTTCGGATTCCACGAGCACAAAAGATGGTTTCCGGATATTTCGCTCTTTAGGTAAGTAGCACGATCCCAAATTTATTGTTATGAGTCATGCTTGTTCGATATCCCCCAAATGCCATGTTGAACTACTTGTCTTTTCATTAATACCTCATACTCTCCATGTTTATGAAAAGATCATACTATGATGCCTCAGTGGTTAATCCTGTATTTATTGAACTTATGATGTTGATTCGGGATTTGGTCCTATACTTGGTGAATCTCGCAAATACATGCATATGTAATACTTCCCATGATATGTTGCTGAAAAGAATATTAATGCTCATATAAATGCTAATGAAAAAATCTTTGATAGTATGAATGCAATACACCTAGAGTCCAGAGGCCTCTACTGTTAGGTGATACCATGGTACTAATATGCCGGTGCCAGATTAATACTCGCTACATCAATTATTAATGCATAGAAATGCAGTTTTTAACTCTAAAGAATTGACATTCCAGTTGCATCTCTTTTTATGAAGATTCATGGCTATGTTATTGCTCATTTTCTTTCTCATATCGTACTTACGAGAATCGCTGTCTTATTATATACTACTTGCTGGCCTCCAGCTCATGAGCTTGCATGGTTGCGACTAACTGCATGAACAACTAAGGACAAGGGAAAATCTCTGATGAATTTTCACTACTTGCTTATGTGAAAATAAATCTTGAAAGTGTTGGTTTAGTCTTGGAATGTATATATAGACATCAAAATGGTAAACCATGATTCTATGTATATATATTTTAACTAAGGGCAGGACCTTATCTTTGGATAAAAGAATACTAACTCTAATCAAGTTGTTTGTATTTTGCTGAAATTCCTTTGTGTCTGCTATTTGGTGTCAACTGACATATTGATTTATCAACCTCATGTATAGGACCCATGCGTTGCATAGCAAGTAGTCTGCCACATGGCAGCCTGTATGGCACACAAACGCTCATGCACACGCATATGAGTGCATCCGTATATAAATAGAGATACCGGATATTTTAACTGGTTGATCTCCACCTAAGATGGATGACGACCTATACATATGACTGATCAAGCAGCAATGTAAGCGGTTAATTTATTGACTACGCTAATCTTTTATTTTCAAATGACGAAGCTTTCCATGAAAGCAGAAATGTCATAAATCCACTTCAATGATATAACTGATGTTGACAGAAAGCAGGCAAGCATTAAATAGATAGGAAGTGTACAAGCAGTTATTTACGCAATTAGAAATAGAAAAGAGTACAAAAATGAAACATATGAGGAAAATTACCAAAGCATGTCCCTCTTCAACTTGACCACGAGGAATCATGTATAGAGAGGATGGTGGCATGCCCGGTTGAAAACTTCCATTTGGAGGAGTCTGATTTTGAGCCACAGGTTGGGACTCCTTTTGCTGCTCATTAGGTCCGCTGCTATCTGGATCGTTATTAGTGTAAAACATAACATGTAAATAAAGAAGATGAAGGGTGAAAATAAAAGATATTAAACATAAAGCCTAAAGGAAACATAATCATTACGAAACATTGCTACATAAATATAAAGTACAAAGATAAATAGATAAACAAACAAAGAAACCAACGTGTTGAGGTAAGAGACATACAGCTCTACATAATAATGACTATACTGAGGTAAGAGGTATACAACTCTTTAACCAGAGATAAATTAAGAACGAGATTACTTTATTGGATTACACACATAGGCTCAACATATTAATGACATTAAATCAGTCAGGCTCATAGAGCAGTACAAATATATAACAACGTTAAAGCTTTTGACACGGTGATTCGGTCTCAGGAAAGTGCTAAGAGTCCTAAGCAACATTAAACCATTATTTATATGATGTAATTAGCATTGTCTTCTATATTTATCTTCCTTTTTTCCTTTATTGATAATACGTCAAGCAAAGAGAGGATGCTTCCTTTTAAGAAATTGATATCCAAGGAACTACTAAATACTTTTTCTATTGCAAAAGATGGGTTATAGGGTCAGGACAACTATTAGACATGACATTAATGCCTGCAATTAGTAAATAGGAAACCACAAAACACATCCGTCGGATGTTGCTAGTATTCTGATTTTAGTAAATGGTTGTAACTATGGTAATGCATTTGGACTAAATTTTAACTTAATATAAGTGCAAGAACAGACGATGGTTTAGAGACGCGTACCAGACAAATCATTCACGGAAGAAGTCATGACTCCGAAGACTTCAGCCGCAGATTGGAAGTAGAAGAAGCTGCGTGCACCCAAAATGAAGCTGAAAGAACAAGTTGAAGTGTCATTGCCGACTGTTCCTCCAACAAAATTTTGTAACACTTTCAGAATGAATAATGCTTATCCGGCCGGATATGCTATTTGAAAAGGAAATATATTTCTTAATCTAGAAGAAAACAAACATTTTAGTACTATTGAGGCATTGAAATCAAGACATTAGCGATTATGTCCCTCATAAAAATATCACTAGCAATATATCATTCTATCGCAAACCTAAAGAGGTTTTAAATACATAATAACAGATTGATTTCAGTAAAATCGTGAATTAGGAAACTCGAAACTTGTAAGTATAACATAATCATCCATAAAGCTCGTGAACCCTAGTACAAATCTTTTTTTTTTTCGCTTTAATTCAACATCGGTGTTAAATTCACGGTAAGGTTTTATCCCAATCCAATTTGGCAACTGATCCAGTCCAAGAAAAAGAAAAGAAAAATAATGGAAAGTTAAAATTAGAAACCTACCTAGGGTTTCTCCGAGAATAATTCGAAAATTTTACCTTTTTTCCTTGGGGACGGGCTTTATTGCGTGGAGAAGTTCGAAGGTGATTTGGTGAGCAGAGAGTACGATCGCTCAGAGAAAAACTAAAGAGATTTATTTATTTATTTTTTTTAATGGAAAAAGAAAACAAAATAAAAAGGGGGTGAGAGGGGAGGGCTAATTGGCGAAGAACCGATGGGCGGAGAGAGGCAAAGGGGAAACGAGAAACGTTTGGAAGATCGAGAAAGTTCGGTAAATTGGGGGGATCTTGGCCGTTCATTTGTTTACTTATTTATTTATTTATTATTATTATTATTATTTTGGTCAGGCACCTACTAATGACTGGGATACGAGATGATGGGGCCCGCTTTTGAGTG